ATGTGTGTATGGATTGGGATAACAGTTGTATGAGCCCCTAATAAAATGTTTAAAAAAAAATAAAATAAAATAAAAAATAAATGATGAAAAAAAAAAAATGGGCAAGTTTGGTCATTCTATTTAATATATAATTAACTTGTGGATTTAAGATAAAATCCCTAAATACTTACTGAAGTGTAATAAACTCTCTAATCATAAAATACAATTTATGTCCTACTCTTTTTTATAATCATTTTATTGGGGCTCATACAATTCATCACAATCCATACATACATCAATTGTGTAAAGCACACTTATACATTTGTTGCCCTCATCATTCTCAAAATTAGCTTTCCTCTTGGGTTCCTGGAATTAGCGCCTCATTTTCCTTCCCGTCCCCCCACACCCCCCTCCCTCATGAATCCTTAATAATTTATAAATTATTATTATATCTTATCTTACACTGCCCGGCGTCTCCCTTCACCCACCTTTCTGTTGCCCATTCCCCAGAGAGGAGATTATATGTAGATCCTTGTGATCGATTCCCCCTTTCTCCCCCGGTCCTACTCTTTTGAATTAAAAAAATAGAAACATTTCTATGTAACTCAAGTTTATATTTCAGTGTTTAACTTTATGTATCGGTAAACCAATTAGTTAGCACTTTTCTTTTACCTTGAAGATACAGTCAAGTTTTCTTTTTGCCTTGAAAAAAACTTGGGGTTTATTGATTTTTAAACTGCAAATAGTCACTACAAAAAGGTTTTTCTTTTAAATAAATTCACATAGAAAATACAGTCACATTTTAAAGCTATAAACTTACCATCTAACACAGTTCCAGCAACTTCTCTCCCAACAGGAATAAAATCTTTTTCCATCTTCATTTCTGCTAGAAGCTAAATTATAACAAATGCTGTCAACACGGTCCTGTTACAAATAAATCCTGACATCTTCCACCACATGAGGAAAAATGAGGGTATACATCAGCCACAGGAAAAGGAAATGTGATTCAAGTTTTGGAACTGAATTAGAGTTTACTACCTATTTTAAAGCCAATTAAATAGCTTCACAAAATAGGTAGGAACCAAGAGTCTGTTGAAGAATTAGTGGTTATTTTGGTTTGCGTCTCTTAATATCGATGATACATTCTTTGGAATCAGATGTTATGTGCTTTGGACACTGTATTATATATCTAGCAAAGAAATATGCCTAAATCAGGGGCAGTAGCACCCAGTGACTTTTCATCTTTATGTTATTAGCTATTTTTTTTTCACGTCAAAATGGCTACTTCTTTGCTTCTTGTGGCTGCTAATACTAGCACTGGTTTGGGAGCCACGATGGGAATATTTTTGAAAGAAAAGTAAGCAGAGAGATAATGCTACAATACTGAAGAAATGTGTAATGTATGATGCTGCGTAGGAGTTGAAGCATATGCTGTTATATGACAAACTTATTTATACATTGGGCAAGTTCACCTTAAAATAACATTAGATAAGGCAACATTTTTAGTTAAAATAGATAAACTCTAAATCCCTGGCAGAATGGTGCTATCAGACTGTTCTTCTTTTACTCCGTCACTGGAAAGTAAAAAGAAAGCACAGAGCACACATAAGCCTGCTCTTACAGATGGCAAGACATTTAACAACTGTCTTGCCTTCTTTACATACAAGCCTTTTCTTACTTTTCTACAGTTTTCAAAACTATTCTTAAAGATGATTGTGCAAGGCTAGGCAGACTTAGGGGAAGGGGAAAGATAGCATCCTACCAGAGCAGTGGTTCTCCACCTTCCTAATGCTGCGACCCTTTCATACAGTTCCTCAAGTTGTGGTGACCCCCAACCATGAAATTACTTTCGTTTCTACTTCATAACTGTCATTTTGCTACTGTTATAAATTGGGTGACCCCAGTGCAGGGGTCATTTGACCCCAAAGGGGTCGCGACTCACAGGGTGAGAACCACAGTACTAGAAGGAGACTAGCAAAAAAAAAAAAAAAGAGAGAAGGAGATAAAGAGAGAGGG